GCATACTTAAGTGAGACTGGTCCTTGGAGAAGATGGAGCAGGTTCCGAAAGTCTGGGGCTACCGGCGGTTCGAGCGGTTCAGCTCAGAAGACGACTGAAGTCAGCCGAAAAATGGGCCAGGAGTTGTAGCACTCGAGCCTGAAGTAAAGCCGGCGCCTGTGGATCCTGTGGATGCTCGTTTGGATGCTTCTTTGGTCTCACTCAAAAACTCTGGCACAGAGGATGACCTGGGCCTGCTGGGTTGCGTTCAGAGGTGACTTTGAAATCACGCAGATAACTCAGAAAAACGAGGTTGGATGAGCAGAGATAACTTTCAAAAATGGCTTCGCGAAATTAAAGAAAAATCAATCAAAGGCTTAATCTTGAATTGCTATGCGCACAAAAAGTTGAAGTTTCAAAACTTGAACTAAGACGATGTTAAAGAAAAATCAATGTGAATCAACACGTGGTGTAAAACTTAGAAGACTAAGGAAAAGTTCTAAGAGAAAACAAAGAAGAGGACCACAGAAGGGTGTGGACAGAAGAGCGAAAAGGGGAGAAGAGGGAGAAGAGCGTGGCACAAGAGGAAGGGTACAAGAGAGTGAGCAACCCCACTCCACTGGTTTTATCTTCTCACACTGGGAGTGTCTCCGGCGAGTGTGTGTGTGAGGAGAGAGAGGAGGGGTCGTGTGGTCTCCAAGCAGAGGAGACCTCGGATCTCTGATTATTTGATCTAACTTATACTTTTGGCTGGTAAAAGAGTCAGATCTGATACTCACTCACTATGATTAATATCATTGAATGCTTGGTTTCATGATAAATAATTTGATACTAAACACATATGAATGAAATGTAGGATCACATCAAACATTCTCATTATGTTTTAAGTATCACATTGAACATGCTAAATTACTCTGAAATGAAACATAGTAACACATAGAAACTGTGAACAACAAAAGAGTAAACACGTGAATGAACATCATCATGATTAATAATGGATTCTAAATACTTACATTCAGATTATTCAATGACATTATTACCACCTAATGGTTAAAAATACTAAATAAACAACTAGAATATAAACCAAACATTTCTAAACCATTTCTGTTACTTAGAGTAAAGTTATGATCCATAGTCAATAAATTTAACTCTTACAAGTTCATGAAACAGTCTGAAAAGCTGTTGGTCTAAAGAGACTAAAGAATAAAGATTTATTCTGTCAGAGTGATAACTTGGCTTCTGGAGCACATAGAAAAATGGGAGACACCTCATTTTAACACAAATTTCATGATTAGACAGATTAGTACATTGCTGAATGCATAAGATGTCATGATCAGTCATTTGTATTCTTTCACCAAAGGAATGTAGTCTTTATCAGTGTGTGGTCGAGAAGGGTTTTACGACCGGGGTCTGGAGGTCAGTGTCCCCCCCTTATCTTGGGGTCCGTATGTTGACACACTTTAAGACGGTAAATCTCAAATGGGAGATCTGGGTTAATGTTTATTTAGATGGTCAGCGATGGGGTCAGTTTGAAAGGTAATAAAAACTCTGTCTCTGTTCTCCGAATTGACCAATCGTGAAGAGCCAGAGGTTTAGGTCAACCTCCGATCAGGTCAGTTAAGTAACCTCAAAGTGCAAACAAGTCTGGAAAGATTTATATCCTGTGTCCTGGGACCAGATAAGGAAACTTTCCTGTGAGGAATGTGTGAGTTTCACACCGAGGGTTGTCTTGATTGCTACACACAGTTCTGATTAAATGGAAATGTTCAGTAAGTTGCATTAGTTCAGTGGACAAGTACTAATCTGAACCTTAAGTGAACAGAGAACAGACACTGAGCTACATGAGTTCAGTGATAAAGCACTAATCCAACGTCAGCAAAGTAAAGGACAAATATAACAACATTTATTTTGCTTGTGTGTGTGTGTGTGTGGGGGGGGGGGGGGGGGGGGGGGGGGGCCCTGACTACCCAGGGCCCAAGTAGGGAGAGGGGCCCGTGAAGATCCACACTTTTCTGCTAGTTCTTCATACACAGCAGCTGTCCTGGAATTGGTCTAAATGGTGTGTTAACAGTCTTCCACAGTCCTGATATATATATGCTTGTTGTTGGATAACCAGCTTTGTATGATTGCTCAGAGCTATCTCTTTTGTAGGAGTTAGTGAAGCTAGATAACCTACAGACACTTGCTTTGTCATATATGTAGGCCTCAGGTCAAGACCGTCATTCAGCTATTGTTTGCATTAGTTTTAAAGAGGATGAAAGAAAGGTGCAGCTGTCCATAGTTTATATATAGATGCAGTCGTGTATTCATTTGTCAGTTATGAACATCAACATGATATTGGAAATCTTATCAGCTTTTGTATGGTGTTATGGTGTTACAGCCTTCTTTTCCAGACTCTGACTGTTTGGGGCTCTATTTACGTGCCTCACCAGAGACGTGCCACAGGCGCGGTGTAAGTCAGGTCCGCCGCGCCGACAAGGCGTTCCCAAGCACAATTTGGTATTTTGGTGAGCGGCGCAGCCCGGCATAGGTATCCCCCCTCCCTAACTCAGCTCCTCCCAGCGGCGTAAGTCGTAGCAAGGGAGGAGAGAGGGCATAGAGTGGGTTTAACACAGCCGAGACCTGTATTGACCAATAACATCAGCTCCTCTCCTCGCCTTTAAATCCGCCACAGGCGAGGCGTATTACTATTTTCTTGAAGTAGTCAAAGAGATCAAGAGATGTCTGAAGACAGTAATGCCACACAATGGCGACAGAAGGCAGCGCCTCAACATTGTCACAGTAAACGCTGCAGAGGGCGTCCTCCACACTCTCTCATATGATCAGATGGATTTGGTGTGTGTAATGTTGGACCCACTAGTAAGACAAACACCCTTTTCCACAAATAAAGACACTCACATAAAATTGCATATAAAATTGGTGCATATATGTAACCCTCACATGACATAGGTGGGTTGTGCGCACAGATCACAACATAAATTCCAATGATGGCATTAAAATCGGAACCATCTGTGCGTAAAGGATGCATCACGCTCCGTGGCCTGGCTCTTTCTTTCATAGATGTTGGCATATAAAATAAATTTGGCTCACAAAACTGAATATTATAATATCCGTATGTCGGCTTAAAGTAAATAACTCATCTGATCACTGAAACAAATCATCTGTTCAGCCGCCGCAGCAGCAGCTGCAGCAGGACGGGGGGAGGACACGGAGACATGTCCAGGTCCAGCTGTGTGAGAAATAAGAGGAAGAGGAAGAAAGAAAAGGAGGGAGACAAATTACATATCTTGTTAACTTCATCATGTGTGTCTATTAACTAGATATTTAATTTAATGCGGTTTCAGTTGTGTTGATTCGGTCAGGTTGTGTGGCCAAATGCGCTCATCAGATCAGATATAGATCAGAATATATCTACATAAATCTAAATGTGTGGGCTGACTCAGATTATTAGTTGTTGATGATTATTTATTGCACTAAAATGTGCCTGACACTGTGGAACCTGCCGGTGAGGCATCGGTGACGTATGCCGATACTCCGCAGGTCTACCAAAATACCACTAGACCAGCTGCACTCTGTCTGCACTGAGAGCTGACCAGGTTTGAATCGGCGAGCTTTCAGCGCTCTTAATACGCCACCGGCGAGCACAAAAATGTCACTGCGGCAGCTGATTCTGTCGACACCCCCCTCTGCCACGCCACCATGCCCAGCTTGGCGGACCTCGGTGCACCTCAGTCTATGAAAATACCGAACTGGCTGTACGCTGGGCTCCGCAAGACGAAAATACCACTGCGCGGGGTCTGCCACCCTCCGCTGCCTCACTGGAGGACACGAAAATAGAGCCCTTGATCTTGACCCATACTTACATGCAGGTATGTGCTTAAAGAGATAAGCAGAGGCTGTATTTTCAGACAATAGCTGGTATGGCTCCTTGGTGCTCTAATGCTGACTGTTGTCCTGCATACCAAAGCTCTCTGAAACACTGGATTATACCACTCAGACTACAAATGACAAACAGATACATTTCTACATCAGTGATGCTGTTTGGACTTTGTTGAGTACTGTTTACTGCTAGTTCAGCCTGCAGCTAACATACTTTCTTTGTAACAGCTATTTGGTGAATAAAGCTAAAATTTACCCTGAATGTTTGTCATCAAAGTCATTTGCCAAAAGCAAAATCTAGCTGTGACAACCCGTGTCGACTCTCTGCCTCTTAGCCACCTTTTTGTCTCGTCCTGTATGTGAGCGTATGATGTTCAGAGAAGAGACTCCCCTTTTTCTTTGAAACACTGACACTGCTCAATGTCAAACTTTGCCTGAAAGCGTAAACATATTGTGCTCTAATCTGCATGTCTCGGAGTGGAAAAAGCCTTTCTGTACCCTGATGTTAGCAGAAAGAGTTGACAGGTTCTAAGTGACACCAAAATTATGGGAAGAGTCAGCAGGTCCAGAGAAACTGAGACTTTTAGAGCTCTCACTGTGAGCCACTGCAGTGTGGCTCTTCTTATGCTGCATTCCAGTAGTACTCGGTAGTCAGGATTTCCGAGCTCCAAGTCAGAACTATCAACAAGAACGAACCCCCGAGGTCGAAACATTTTGAATATTTTATTAATACAAGTTGTAAAATTTCTGCCTGGGGTGTCAAGTTATTTGCAGTATGTTTATTGCACTTTTTTATTTGCACTTCTTTGTATCTAATTGTTTTTTCTTGAAACAAAAGAGAACATTTCAAATATTTTATTAAATTTGTAATTTGTATTGAATATTGCATTAGTATAGTATTAAATATCTGCCTGGCATGTTGTTGATATCATTGGAGTAAATAATACTAATACGTTATAATCATAATTACAGGGAAGGAAAATTCAATCGTGGAAAACACTTATTTATTGGCAGGATAGATTGTTTAAAACACATCTAAAAAGACTTATTACAGCAGTGTATAATTGGTACCTATTTACAATATTTACATATTAAGGACTGGTAGGATTATTTCATGGCCTGGCCTCACGACATTTGCAGTGTCACTCATTTTCATCTGCCTGTCTTGGGCATCCATTTGGGTGTTTCTGACAGATCTCTGAAGCACCATTGCACATATTATGTAGAAAACAAGCAGCGATCATCACCACTGTATCGATCTGGGTGTTCTGCAGATCTCGTAGATGCCTCCATCTACAGAACTTCATAATGCCGAAGGCTGATCCTGGAGTCTGCAGCTTGTCAGCCTCAGTTAGAGCCCCGTTGTCACGCTTAGGCATGATGAAAAAAGGGAATGCCTGTCCAATGTATGCACTGTCTCCCAGTAAGCTGTTGTCACCCATCTTCTCCTGCCAGGTCATGTAGAAGTCAGAGGCCCTCAGCATCCTGGCATCATGGACCTTCCCTGGTGATCCAGCAAAAATATCAATGAATTGCCCCCTCTAATCCACAATTCCCTGAAGGAGGACAGAATAAAAAGACTTTTGATTCATGTAGTCTCCTCCTCTTATTTGTGGCCTTTGCACCCTGCTGTAGCAACCATCAATGGCACTGATGAGACCACTGAGACCACAGCAGATGCTGCTTTCGCACAGGTATTTGGCCAAGATATAAATGATGACCCTATTGTGCACATGATGTTGAGAACTTGTAGCATGATCTTGTGGGCTGTGGACTGTGGCACATGAAACTTCTCAGACATCTCACAGAAGCTGTTTTGGTTGGCCATGAACCACAGGAACATCAGCACCTTCTTTGTTGCAGGAACTGGTGGTAGACCTTGACTGTGTTGTTGTTCAATACCATTGTCCTGAAGCTTCATCATCAGATATTCAAACTGGGGCTTGGTGACATGGAAATGACGTGAAAAGTTGTGATCATCCATGTTCAGCATCCTCTCCCACTCTATTTGTCAGTCTTCAATGTAATTTGCTGTGTAGGCTGCAGCACAGCCAGTATTCTAGGTGAGAGACAAAAGGTGTTTCAGTAAAGACTATGACACATTTTACAGTCCTTACAACATCACTGTATCATTTCTAAGTCACATGAGCAGCTTTTACTTCCTTTTATCAGTGGAGTGAATTTTCCTTGTTGTATTTTTTAAATCTTTATCACAATTAATCAATCTTTATTGACTGATTCTTATAAACTCTTTCATCTATATCGAATAGCCGACATACCTTATTTTTCAGACAACTGCTGATATATTGAAAAAAAATTATTTAAATCAACTTATAATTGACAAAATGTGTGTATGCAGTTGTTAAGAGCACTCACCCGTTATTAACTGATGACCGATCAAACGGCGATAGATACTTTTTGTAAACAATGAAATACTTAAAAACAATAGGCTACCTTCTGCGCCTTTGTGTTTCCTCTTCATCCGCTGTGTTTGCATGCTGCAGAAGGACTGCATATTTGTCCAGTAGTTGGACAAGGCAAGCGCTAAAATCACCTTGTTAGATGTTGACATCTTGTTTCTGCCTCTAATTTTGGCCGTTGGTTTCTTTTTTCCGACTTTTTAACTGAAACGCTGGTAACTTGGGTGTGACGTCATTTACAGCTCCGATATCCGACTTCCGAGGTAAATGGAACAGAGCATTACTCTTATCAGCAAAGGAGGAACATGTACCATAGACGAACATTAAAATACACATCCTAAACATAAACATAAATATATACTGTAGGAGAGAGTGGGGTAAGTTGAGCCACCCCCTGTTGCTTGGAAATGGTTAAAGAAAATGATCATGTAAGGAGATAGGCATCAATTCATGGAGTCTGTGAAGGTTAGAAGCACATAGGTGAAGGGGTTAGACATTTATTTCCAAAAAAAAAAAGAATTTTTCACTCTTGAAAGTCAATTTAGTCTGTCATAAGTTTTATTAGAATTGTGTTCAGACCAAAAAAGATCATTTTAAATTTGTTTTAAATATCAATTGTGGTATCTAGGAGCTACAACATGAGGTCAAAAACCTAGTGTAAAAGTCCACCATTTTAGCTACGAGGACCAATAAAGTCATAATAGTTGTTCCGGGGTAAGTTGAGCCAGTGGCTCAACTGAGAAAGTAAAGAAGTCTGATGAGAGGATCAGAGTTTCAGTTCAGATTGTTGAAATGTGATACTTTTTCTTTCCAAAAAAATACAGCTGTGAATGTTCTGAATCACTTCAGGCATTCTCATGTTAAAATGGCTTTTTACAAAACAGCTTTTTAGCAGTTATATGCAATAATAATAAAAAGAATTATCGTACCAGTTGAATATGTTATAATAGATAAAAATACACATGAATGTGAAGAAGTGACTGTTATTTAGGGAGAGCGAAGATAAGGGGAACCTGGGGTGGAGAGTGAGTGGAGGGATGATAGGGATGGTACGACTCAACTTGCCCTCCTCCTATGGTCAACTTACCCCATACATGGGGTAAGTTGATCATAGGAGACCACTTTTTTTTGACATGCTATATCATCAAGGCAGTAATGTTTGCAGGGATGCACATCTTGAAATATATGCAGATACACTAGTTAGAGACAAAACTATGATTGCATTGATGTAGTGATCCGACATATGAAAATTGGCTCATCTTACCCCACTCTCGCCTGTGTGTAAGCTATACTTCTCAGTATTGCAGCTTACTTTGTGCTCACTGATTGATTGGTATATTTGCATCTCTCCATCTTGTGTGGTTTCAAACATAGTCATCAAAGGATGTTTTTCTAGTAACCTTTTAATAATTGTAAGATTTCAAACAGAACATATTTAATTTCAACGCCATTCCTAATCAAACAGTTTCTTCCTAAGATGAGGCCTTACCTGCAACTCAGACTGTTATTCCTGTGAAAACAGCTCCAGAGATCTGCTCAGTGTCGTGTTTCACTCTTTTTATTCTCCTGTAGCACTGAATGGTTCTGAAACCTCTTTTTACATCCACAAACCCTTTCTCAATGAGATGTTTTGATTGACAAGTGATCCGCTGCTGTGTGATGTGTTGTTGCCATAGTGACTCAGTAACTTTTGGTATAGTTGATAAAATGAGTGTTTTTGTTTGTTTCCTTTTTTTCCCAAGGCAACTCAGTCTTATCTCACCCTAGTGAAGCATTATATTAGTCAAGGTATGCTATGAGCCATCAGGGAAGTGTCTGCACAGTGATAGCACAGCAGGAGCTGCATTTCAAAGTCTATCAGCTCAACTCACATGGTAGTTTACATGTTTTCCAAACATGAAAGTGAAGACCCTGCAGTGACAGAGACCTGAGAGGTGTTTACTTCCAAGTAGTTCAGGTTTTATTTAGCAAAAACAGGTGTACACAAAGAGTTGTGGCAACTAATACAAAGATAATATTCAATCAGAATTGAATAATTGTATTACTCACTCATAAGATAGCACAAACTGAAATAAAATTGTAAACCAGCAAAACATGTCTAAAATGTTAGGACAGGGATAGTCTGAGTGTTTCCAAAAAAGGCATCCCAGAGAGGCCGAATCTTTCAGAAGTAAAAAACCAGAAGAGATTCACCTCTGCGGGAGACTGCAAGTGGTTTGACAATTTCAGAAAAGCTTTCCTCAGGATGAAATTGCCAAGAGTTTGAGGATTTCATCATCTAACATACATAATAGAGTTAAATAAACAATGATTTGGAGAAATCTCAGCAAGCAGAGAAGGCCTGAAAAAAGCACACTGGATGGCTGTGATCTTCAGGCCCTCAGGCAGCACTGCATTCAAATCTGGTATGACTCTGCAGAGGAAATCCCTGTATGGGATCAAGATCACTTTCAAAAACCACTTTGTTGCTTGTAGCAATTTGAATTTATAATAAATGTCCTTAGATAAATACTCTTAAATAATAAACTAATAGTATAACTACCTAATGGTTCAAATCAAATCAAACTTTATTTATATAGCACTTTTCAGGCAATTAGAATTACAATTTAAAACAATGAGCCCCCCCATATCCAGCCTGCCACCCCACCCCCCCAACCCTCACCGGGAGCCCACCGCAACACACACACACACACACACACACACATAGATGATCCAATCTTAAAAGCGTGTGGCTGAGTACAGAGGAGCCAAGTCAGGAAACGTCAGGAGGCCGACAGGGCCAAGACACCCCCACCCGGGTGCGCACCCCACTACAGGCCAGTAAGGGGCCCACAGCAGCAAGCACTGCTGCAGACCACCACCTGGCCAAGCTGAGCGCACACCACGAGGCAGAGAAACCCTAGACAGAACCAGTCACAGCCTCCAGTGCAGCCTCCAAGTTGCACCTAAGATCATTAAAAGTTTTCAGTAGTGCGGTCTCTGTACTGTGGTTTGTCCTAAATCCAGATTGAAATTTCTCCAGGATGGAATGGTTATTTAAAAAATCATTCAACTGAATAAAAACAAGTTTTTCTAAAATTTTACTTCAAAATGGTAAGTTGGACACTGGTCTGTAGTTATCAAGAACATTAGGATCCAAATTGTTCTTCATCAGAAGGGGTCTCACTACTGCCGTTTTAAGGGCAGCAGGGAAAGAGCCCATCTGAAGAGAACAATTCACTATATTTAAAAGCTCACCTTCAAAGAATCCATAAAACATTTAAAAAAGTGATGTGGGAATTGGGTCTAAAAGGCAGGTTGTTGGTTTTACTTGGGAGGAAACTCTACCAAGCATCTCAGCATCAACCAGGACAAAACTGTCCAGTGTTTCCTCAGGTAAAAACAAGCTTTCCACTGTATAAGAAACAGTGTTTTGAATAGATAAAATAGAGGATCGTATAAAATCCATTTTACCCCTGAAGTAGTCTGCAAAACCTTCACAAAGTGTGTCTGAAGGAGTGATTTGATATCTGTTAAAAACCGGGTTGATTAAAAGATCAATTGTAGCAAAAAAGATTTTTGGGTTATTCTTATGATCTGTGATTATGTTGGTAAAATAGGTGGATCTTGTGTGTCTGAGAGCTTAATTGTACATTTTCAGTTGCTCGCAGTATATTTTATGATTAATTGTGATTTTATTTTTCCTCCATCTCCGCTCAGCTACCCTGCAATTTCTTTTTAGTTTTTTTAATTTCCACATTTCTCCACGGCGGTGTATGCTTAGGCAATACCTTTTTTGTTTTCAGTGGAGCTACAAGGTCGAGTGTGGTTTCAAGTTTGTTGATATAATGTTGAACAATAAAATCACAGGATGCAGCTAGAGTAGCTGAGGGGTGCTTGCTCAAGATCTCGATAAAATTTGCAGCCACTTTTGACGTAAAATAGCGTTTCCTGACAGTTCGCACCGAGGTCTACCACTGAATAAAACTGGTGATATTAAAAAAAACACAATAATGGTCCGACACAGCCAGATCAACAGCAGAGGACACACTGGCTGACAGGCCATAGCTGAGGACTAGATCCAAGGTGTGTCCTCTGTTGTGAGTCGGCTGTGTGATGTGTTGTGTAAAATCCAAGCAATTAAGTAGATGGAGTCTGGCTGTCTCTCGCTGAGTGATTATGACAGGAATGGGTGAATGTTTAATGAAAACAGAGGGTCCAAGTCCAGTATTGTGTGTGACAGAGGTGAAACTAAAATCATAGGAACTGGGACCTGGGGGATATCAATCAGTGGCAGAAAGGTCAGTCGGTGTACGTTTGGGGTGATGGGAGGAAAGTGACAGTTGAGTGTGTTGTAGATCGTATGCCAGGTTGGCGGCCAGCACGCGGGTGCCAGCTCTATTAAGATGAAGACCATCTGAACCAAAAAGATGTCTCCTCTCCCAAAAAGCACTGAAATTGTCAACAAAGCCGACATTGTGGGAACTGCAGGCTGATGAGAGCCAGGTGTTTAGGCTGAGCAGCCTGCTGAAGCGCCCAATACCTCTGCCACAGGTAAGGGTGGGGCCAGAGATAAAAACGCGCAGCTGGGGCCGTGAGAGTTTGTTAAAAAGCTGTGTGAAATCACGCTTTAAAAGCTCGGACTGTTGTCTGGGGGTGTCATTGGTGCCCACATGTATGACGACCCTGTTTACCTGCGGATGTGAATTCAGGGCGCTTGGGATTTTCTCCGTGATGTCTGCAACAGTGGCATCGGGAAAGGACAGGGTGAATGCTCCCCTCAGACGTACGTTCCGGATGATGGAGTACCCGATGAGGAGTGTCGTGGCGTGTTGCCTGAGGGGGGCGGCTGGCTCGGTGGATCCGTCCTCCCCGTCAGGCGCCCGGGGGATGAGTACATCCAGTGTGCCACTGCAGCGCGTCCTTGAGGAGCCGCCTCCGCTGGACTGAGGGACAGGGGGACGGAGGCGAGCGGCACGGCACTGGACGGCCCGGCGCTGGACGTCGATCCGGTGGGGCACAGGCAGCCATGAGTGGAGGGAAGGCTGTGGTGTCTGTCAGCGGGCGCACAGCATCCCTCGGGGAGGCCTCAGGATCATCAGGGCCCTGGTCCAGTGGCTCCACAATCATGGACAGAGCCCAATATTTGTTAGAGAGGGGGATGCCGATGGAGGAGGATACCCCGCACGGAGACCCGCCAGAAGCCTTCTTCCGATTGTGGACCACTACCTCATACCAGGGGGTCCCTTTGTTGGGAGTAGAGCTGGAGGGCCACTGACAGGTGGATGGGGGAAGGCTCCCAGATGACGGTGTCCCTCAGTGCAGCGGTAGTGCTATGCTGTGGCAGCTCGATAGTCTGTCTGCTCTCCAACCAGCTGGACAACGCCGGGAGCCGAGATTTAAAAGTGGCCAGGAGTGAGTCCTTCTTCTGCAGCTCGTCTGAGAGTCGACCAATGTCCTCCAGAGGATCAGGGATCTCTTCACTGGGCTCTTTTAAGTTGTTGACCAACTTCAGCAGGTAAGGAAGTGTCTATGGTGGAAGCCTCCATGGGTGCCATGTAGCTAACTCAGCAAGAGTGCATAAAATCCCAGTGTGATGACGAAAACCTTTTGTCCAGTAAAAGCAAAAAGATAAAAATAATCCTTTGCTCAAAGAACAAAATGTTAAAAGCAATCAGAACATTTTAAAATCGAATAAAATCTTAAAAGTTTTTTAAAACCGGTTAAAAATGGAGACTAATGATTCTGCAGGTACCAGGTGGAGATAGGGAGGTGGAGTGTACGCACATATAAACAGATTGACCTCCCTTCAGTCCCAAAACCCCTTGAGGAGTTTGGCAACACTTCAGTCTCTAGACTCTTGAAACTGGCCACCCCTGCTCCCAAATTTAAAGAGACTGCTGTTAAAAGGATAGTGTTAAATGTGCTTTTTTGAAACAATAAAAAGAGGCTTTACTTTCTACATTTGATAGTTGCATTATTTTTGACAACCTTTTAAAGAATTAGCAAACTGTCAAATTCTGTTTTAAGAAGTACTTTGATCAGTATTCAAACTTATAAAAAAAAAGAGGTTGAATATTAATGTGCAGAGGTATGAGTGATGTATTATTAAACATAATTAAGGGCATGACTGTTTGACTAGCGCCCCCCCCCCCCACACACACACACACACACACACAGTTTATTCACATAGTATAACCATATAAGTCGTGATTCAAATTTCCAGAGTTAAACCATCAGCATTTAAGAATATAAACCTATAAAAAATGCATAGTTACTGGTTCTGATCCATCTTTACTCTTTCAAATTTGAGCTGATAGGCAGACTATGTTATTGTGTCATTAATATACAATATGCCCAGCCCAGGGGCTTTATAAGACACTATTAATTACACATGGGCTCTATTTTCATGCCTCACCGAAGACGTGCCGCAGGCGTGGCGTAAGTCAGGTCCGCTGCACCGACAAGGCGTTCCCAAGCACAATTTGGTATTTTGGTGAGCGGCGCAGCCCGGCGTAAGTATCCCCCCTCCCTAACTCAGCTCCTCCCAGCGGCGTAACTTGTAGGAAGGGAAGAGAGAGGGCGTGGAGTTGGTTTAACACAGCCAAGACCTCTTATTTCTCATGAAGCTCGACCTGAACATGTCTCTGTGTCCTCTCCCTGTCCTGCTGCAGCTGCAGCTGCTGCGGCGGCTGAACAGATGATTTGTTTAAGTGATCAGATGAGTTGTTTATTGTAAGCCTACATACGAATATTATAATATTCAGTTTTGGGAGACAAATTTAATTAATATGCCAACATCTATGAAAGAAAGAGCCAGACCACTGAGCGCGATGCGTCATTACGCACAGATGGTTCTGATTTTAATGCCATTATTGGAATTTATGATGTGATCTGTGCGCACAACCCACCTTTGTCACGTGAGGTTTAAATATATGCAACTTTATGTGAGTGTCTTTATTTGTGGAAAAGGGTGTTTGTCTTACTGGTGGGTCCAACATTACACAAACCAAATCCATCTGGGAAAGAGTGTGAAGGACGGCCTCTGCAGCGTTTCCAGTGACACTTGTTGAGGAGCTGCCTTCTGTCTACATCGTGTGGCATTACTGTCTTCAGACATCTCTTGATCTCTTTGACTACTTCACGAAAATAGTAATACGCCTCGCCAGTGGCGGATTTCAAGGCCAGGAGAGGAGCTTATGTGATTGGTGAAAACTGGTCTCGGCTGTGTTAAATCCACTCCACGCCCGCTCTCCTCCCTCGCAATGACTTACTCAGCTGGGAGGAGCTGAGTTAGAGCTGCGCCGCTCACCAAAATACCAAATTGTGCTTGGAAACGCCTTGTCGGCGCGGTGGACCTGACTTAAGCCGTGCCTGCGGCATGTCTCCGGTGAGGCACGAAATAGAGCCCCAGGTTTGAATCGGTAAGCTTTCAGCGCACTTCATACGCCACCGGCGAGCATGAAAATGTCACTGCACCAGCTGATTCTGTCGACACCTCCCTCTGCCACGCCACCACGCCCAGCCTGGCGGACCTCGGTGTGCCTCAGTTCATGAAAATACCAAACTGGCTGTACACCAGGCTCTGCCAGATGAAAATACCACTGCGCAGGGTCTGCCACCCTCCGCCGCCTCACCGATGGACAGGAAAATAGAGCCCCATGTTCTCAGTTTTGGCTTCACCATATACCCCATTTTCTTCAAAATTGGCAAGTACTTATTTTTGACTGTGTTCACACTGCTAAGTTATTTTTATAGATATACTTCAATTTCCTTGAAAATTGGTTGGTGCTGTATGGCTCAGGGGGGATTCTGCTGTTAACACCGAAGATAGAATTTCTTATTAATGCTGTCATCTGGCATTTTAACCTGCTGATTCCACAGTCTGATTAATTAGCATTTCCCTCTTATTGACTCAGGATTCCAACCCATGTCATCCCAAGCAGCTAAAATGGAAGCAAATTTATGGATACCTATAAGAAGCAGCATAAAGCTCTGTTTTTAATAATATATGGGCCTTTACAGTTTTTGCATAATTCAATATAGGAGAGATGCATGCAGAGTTGTGTAAAAGTGGCATACCCAAGATACTTGCATATTTTAAGCTCATTTACAATGCTCTTCCAGCTGAATTAGACAGAAGTCAATTTCCAGCTCCATATGTCATAAACTCCTCCAGACAAAATCCCAAATATTTATGTTCAGAAGTGAACTCCAAAATAGTTTCCCCAGAGATTATATCTTTGAACTTCTTGGAGTGCCTTTTTTCCTGACATGAATGATCTGGATTTTGTTCTGATTTATGGACCGCTTCCACTCTATAACACCAAATCTTAAACAAATTCAACAGATACTGTAAATCAGCTGATTCCGCCAGTAGAACAATGTCGCCTGCATACAACAAAATACCCACAGTGAAATTGTCTAAATTAATCCCTGCACCAGAGCTCTTCGTGTCCTGAGCTAAGTAATTTCTATGAAGAGAAAACACAGTGGGAGAGAGAATATCCTCTAGGTTAATACCAAAGGGGGGTTAATAATAATAATAATACATTTTATTCATAGGCACCTTTCAGGGCACTCAAGAACACCTTATAAAACAATTAAAATGATACATTGTTAAACTGATAAAGTCAGTAAAACACATCAACACAACAAAAGTTTTAAGTGAAAAAGCTGTAAGTCTGGACTCTGCAGCAGAACATCAATTGTGGGTCTGAGTAGGCCTGTCTAAAATAATGTGTCTTGAGACAGGATTTGAAGATGGACAGTGAGTCAATGTTCCTAATGTCAGGAGGGAGGGAGTTCCAAAGGCGGGGGGAAGAGCGGCTGAAGGGTTTGAAAGCATTCAGTTTGGAAATCTTTTACTGGTACACAGAACATCTGAACATTGATTTTAAGTATTGATAGAATTAAAAGCCAACTAAAAGCCTTTTGAAAATCAACAAAACATACAAAAGTGCATTTATTTTCTGCAATCCTTTTTCTTACAATTGTTGAGATTTAGTAATTATGGTCAATACAGGCTGGATTTTTTCTGTATCCATTACTGCTCATCAACCAGATACTCTAATGTTTCTAATGACTGGACAGCTTCTGTTCAGAATACTAGAACACAATTTATACACAAAGCTGAGGAGTCTGATTCTTCTATAATTAAGAGGCAGGTGTTTTAATGTAAAGGCAGAGTTAGTATTTAATTAAAGTCAGTTACTTGTGGAATTAATCATTCAGTTCACACGTAATCATATTCAGTAAATTGAAGTTTGAAGGGTCCTCAACAACATCAAACCCTTTTGCTTCAGCGGCTTAATGCATACCAGTCTTGGTTCTTTTCAAATTCATCATTGCAGGGGTGGCCTTCAGGGCCACGGCACTAATAGACAGAAGCTGAGCTGGAATATGTCAGTCTATGACCAAAGTCAAACTGTTTTCAAAGGTAAACTGCTCAGAAAAAAAGGATGCACTTTGCTGTAAATGCCCCCGTGTTTTGGCTGAGATGATCTGAGCACAATTACACAATTTGACCAATGATCTTGAGTTCATGTTGCAACTCTTTGAGGTTTTGTAGATGCAATGTAGAGCATCAGGGCAAATTATCCTTCATTTGGTCCTTCCCCCTGATCTCTGTGTCTCATCCCTTCCTTTTTCTATCAGCCCTCAGAGACCTGGGGCCTCATGTATCAACGCTTGCGGCGCAAGAAAACCTTGCGTACGCCAAAATCGGCGCACACGTCCAGATTTATCATCGCGAAACGAGCGTCGGTTCCAGCGCTAATCAACGCAAAGTCAGGAGGTGGTGTAGAAATTGGCGTTGAGCTGGATATTTGCGTTGACTGTGATTCGCACTTTGGCGACGCTGTGTGGTGACTCACTATGTGACAAGCGTCCACACATTGCAGTGGATTAATTGTTAATCCGACAGCTGTTCGTGTGTTAATTGTGTTAATTTGTAACACATTAACACAAACACGAACACCTGTCGGTATTACGGGAGGGGCTATAAAAGAGCGCATACAACAACACATACAGAAGACAACATTCAACAATGGCAGCACTTGCGCTGATCGAAGATATTTATAACCGTGCCATCCGACGTGAGCGTCATTTTATGGAGCGGGAGGACCTGCTCCAGAATACAGACGAATGGCTCATGAGCCGGTTCCGGCTACCGCGGGCCATCCTCCTGGAGCTGTGCGAGGAGCTCCGGCCGGCGCTGGAGCGATCAACGGCCAGAAGCCGAGCGGTGCCCGTGCCAACGCTGGTGCTGGGCACACTCGGCTTCTTGGCCACAGGATCCTTCCAGCGGGAGATGGCGGACCGTGCTGGGGTGAGCCAGTCCACCATCAGCCGGGCCATGCCTACGGTGGTGGACCAGCTGATCCGCCTCTCCAGCAGGTATGTTAAATTCCCCTACGGTGCGGTTGAACAGGCCAATATTAAAACGCAATTTGCAGCAATAGCCGGATTCCCAAACGTAATCGGAGCTATTGACTGCACTCATGTTGCCATAAAAGCGCCGTCCCTTGACGAGTACGCTTACGTCAACCGAAAAGGCGTTCACTCCATCAATGTGCAGATCATCTGTGATGCACAGATGAATCTGCTCAACATTGTTGCGAGGTGGCCCGGTTCAACGCACGACTCGCACATCATGTACAACAGCACTGTTGGGGAGAGGCTCCAGGCAGGTGCAGTTACAGACGGGTGGCTGCTGGGTGAGTAAATATGTAATGATATAATGTTATTCAAAAATTTGGCGTGCATCAGTGACTTCAACTAAATGTGTGCAACGCTGATATATTGTACTCTGCGTTTGATTGCGAGTACTCGATGGATGTTGTGGGTTATTGATTGCTTATTGCTTGCTATTATTACAACGCATCAAGCCCAAAACTTAACACACTGTGCTTTTTCTGAAGGTGACAGTGGCTACCCCCTCAGGACCTGGCTGATGACCCCTCTCCACAACCCCCACACTGACCGAGAGCGGAGGTACAACCATCTCCACTCTCGCTCTCGGTCAGTGGTGGAGAGGGCCATCGGCCAGTTAAAGGGTCGGTGGCGCTGTCTGGACCGGAGTGGCGGCGTGCTTCTTTATCGTCCGGAGAAGGTGTGCCGCATTGTGATGGCGTGTGGCGTCCTTCACAATGTGGCACAACTGCACCACATCCCCATGGCTGAGCAGCACGTCGCCCCAAATGATGATCCAGCAGCAGACGGAGGGATGCGAGCTGATCCCTGCCGGGCCGCCGTCCTCGCGCGGGAGAATCTCATCGCCACAATGTGAATGGGTAAAAAGTGAATACACAGTTTAATGAGCCAAATTATTTTATTTTGTCCACCAGACGCTCGAGGACATTGACGAGGCGGTCCAGCCGCTCGTTGATCCCCGCGATCCCCCTAATTATTTGTTCCTGTGATTGCAGGACCGCCTCCGTGAGGACCCTTCCACTGCGTCCGGGTGGTCCAGCGGAAGCGCCGCGCCTGGTGGACGCTCCATCGCTTGTCGGCGCGCTGGTGCTGGTGCTGGTGCTGGTGCTGGTGCTGGTGCTGGTGCTGGGGCCGGGGGCGGCCCGAATGCCGCTGGTCCTGGCCGACGACTCCGAGCCGGCGGACGGGCTGCCGCGGGCCGGGGTTCCACAAGCCGGCGACACGGCCGACACATTGATTTCTGTGACACAATAAAAATATTTGTTCATTTCAATTCCTGCTTCTGTGTATCTGTTGCATTTACATCTATGGCAAAGCATGTGGACATTTGTGTGACACGCTACTTACCCTCCAGCAGGCTGTCTGAGTCGCCGCGGGTAGCGGCGACAATCCCCCCCACAGAGGCGCCCCCCATAATCGCCACCACCCGCTGCTCAAACGGCGTGAGGGTCTCCTCCCCCGGACCCCCACCTGTCTGGCCGGTACTCCTCCGGAGGGCAGCTGTACGCCGCTTGACCTCCACCTTGAGGTCCGACCACTTTTTTTTAATCTCCGCGGGGCAGCGTGTCTCTGAACCCACCGCGTTCACCCTCTCGCAAACTTTCTCCCACTCCAAGCGTTTTCGTTTTGCACTGACGCCACTGGACAGGCTGCCAAACAAAACACGCTGTCGCTCCTCCACCTCCGCCACCAGCACCTCCACCTCGCACGCCGTAAATTTAGGTTTTCTTGTCATTTTGTCTGCGTGCGAGGACAGGGAGACCCTATTTAAATAAATCTGCATATTTATAGGAGGGCGTAACGGGGGCTGGCCCAGTCACTCCGACATCTGCGCTCAATTCCACGCTGATTGGGATGTATCAAGGAAACACACGTGGATTTCGGCGTCCGCACACATTGATACATACGGATTTTTTTCAGCGTTACGGACCTTGCGTGCGCTCGTTTCTGGTATGAGTTCCACGCAAGTGTTGATACATGAGGCCCCTGCTCTTTTCATCACTACTACCATTTGATCTGTGGCTCTGAGCTCTGCTCTCTACTGCACAGAAAAAATTGACTCACTGTTTTTAAATGTTTTTGTGCTGCCCATCTACTGCTGATATTTCTGTCATTGTCTGTATAATTATCAGTCCTTTTAATTTACTCCCTCTGTTGTCTTTTATCACAGCAGCTCTTTGAATTTAGCAGAGAACAGCCCCAGGCAGACTGAAATGTAAGGCTTGCTCATGCTTCCTGCCTTCCTGTCACTACAGACAAGACCTGGTCTGCATATTAAACCCAGAGCTGTTCTACTACACTGCCTTGTCTGCTGCTTATCAATGTACCAGTGGTGGATCCTGTGTCTGTCAGTGTGATCTTTGACTGATTAATCTGCCCCATGGCACCTTCAAAGACAGTCAGGGGCAGATTTGCCCACTGGGACCTCAGGTTCACTCAAGGCCGTGTGGTTAGTTCTAGTTTATGTTTCATTTTATGAAACACTGAGTGGCCAAGAAATTAAACAGTTTGGTGTATTTCACAGTAGGGATTATCTTTAATTTTACAGAACCTCTAGAGATCTTAGGGGAGTTCTTTGGTATCCTTAAGATGTTGAAGTAATGCTCATAACTCTGAGATACAGGAGCAAGCTCAAACTTGCAAAGGAGGCATTACCATTCATTTTTTGTATAATATTTAGGGGCTGGGGGCATTTTTGTAACAGAAAGGAATTGTGGGTAGAAGTGAGTGGGGGATGATACATGACAAATGGCTGAGGCATAAACCACCAACAGTTGGAAAAAAAAGCACTGTAACACAGAATTAGACATACCTCGAGAGATGAATGTAGCTGACTGCTTGCTTCTCTAGGTATACCAACTTTAGTAACGACCGCATGATAGTAATACGTAGCGGTCTCAGGAGCCATACACAAACCTCGATCATAAAGCCACTCTATAGCCGCAAATAGTGCTGAGAACAGCACCTAACTTCATCAACAGTACATATAGGGTCCTAGCCATAGTACTAGCCATCAAACATCTTTTTAGGTTTGACTTATTTCTTTAGTAAAGAGACCAAAAAAACTCGCCCACTCTCTTCCAGCAGCCGCTGGAAGTCGGAAGACGAGTCTATCACTGAGTGCAGCGGAATTTCGCAGCTCAAGGAAGAACATTTATGATCATACTTCATGGAAATGCAATCAGACCGAGACGCTTAGGCAGGAGAACTACCTTGTCTGCAGTGCAAAATGTTTATTACTTAAAGGAAATAGTCAACTGCACTCAGTGATTGACTTGTCAGGGCTCCCCCACAAACAAACGGCTGCTGGAAGAGAGTGGGTGAGTTGTGTTTAGTCTCTTTGCTAAAGAAATCAGGCAAAGCTAGTACTATGGCTGGGACCCTTAATGTACTCTTGATGAAGTTAGGTGCTGTTCTGAGCATTATTTGTGGCTATAGAGTGGCTTCTTGGTTGAGATTTGTGCGTGAAGACGTAGACCGCTGTGTACTGCTGTCGTTACTAAAGTTGTTATAACAAGAGAAGCAAGCAGTCTGCAACATTCATTTCTGGAGGGGGTGTCTAACTTGGTGTTATGGTGTGTTTGACCATGACTTAAATTTAGGCCAGAATATCCCTTTAACCACTGCACAGTTATACATCAAACAAATATTTGAGAGATGACAGTGGACATTTTTGGAAAGATGCTGATAACTGGTTTACCCAAACCCCTACAGGCCTGGAGTACTTTGTTAAAAACAGTCTTGATCTGCAGAAAGTCTTTCGTTTTGCAGTTTTCTGCCATTGTGTCCCAGCTTTTTTCTGTGTAGCGTTTGTTTTGCTTGTTTTTGAATTTGCAGTACAATTCTATGATGATTGTCCCAGACCCTTCTCTACTATCAGCCACCACACAAAACAGACAAGTGAGTGTCATCGAACGACAGCAAAAGGTATGACTCACCAGCTTCCCAAGATCGTGAGCTTTCTGGTGGTTTTTTAAAGTGTGTCTTTACAACATCCAAGGGCTATCCCATGACTCCGTGAAAACAGTTGTATTTTACAGCTATTATAAATTAAAACTAGCATATTTAAACTTACAGCATGTACAGTGAATTTACTCCTCTCCGATCACGAAGACACGGGAGACAGACAAATGCCATAGCTAATGCTGCTGTATGTTTTATTTTAGCATATATACAGTCTATTAGAAATTTAATTTTTACTTCTATTTTTCTGTTTTGTTTATAGTGTTAAAACCATTAAGGACCTGATCTTACATCCTTGTTCAACAAATATTCTGATTCCCCAGAGTAAAAACAGTGTCAAGTGTTGAGACTGGACTGAAACAGGAAAATTAGGGGCCAAACAAACCAAACCTCTAAACTGAAAAACAAAAGAAAGACCACTGCTAAGAGGTGCTGCAAATTTTCCTCACGAGTCACATGTGGCCTTGCAGGGAGGAAACCTCCTGTAAACCTTTTACGTCACCAAAATGTTATTTTCAAGAGCAAAAAAGTGACACTTACACTGTTTTGTAAAGTTCGAGTCCATTCAGGAATTAGTTGTCTGTGTGGTCCTTAGTAGTCCCATTTTCAGCCATAAGTTTTTGTGGAAAAAAAAAAACTGTCATGTGACTGGTAGCTTAGAAAGCCTCAAACATCACTCACACTTTAAGCAGTAGAGAAATGTTGTCAGTTGAACAGTTTGATCTGTATTTGTACGATGAGACAAAAGAGTCAGTCTCTTAAAATATCCATGAACATTGGAAAAATAATGACTGTTCCATATCCACCTGAAAACTAAACTACACCAAACATGAGAGCATCTTTCTCTCCTTCTTCATCCCGCTTTTTGTCTGTAGCTGCGTTTCCATTACATTTTTTCACAAAATAAAAGCCATGTCTATCAAATTTCGTCAAAGTACAATTGCGATTTGCGGGTGTTTCCATTGAATGGTGTTCAGTGCATAAGCGAGCCGTCTGCCTCTCGCGGGCCGTGTTTGAATGGTCGTTGCCTAGCAACGAGGTAATCTTCCTGCCCTTGCGACCTCGTATTCCTTGAGCCTTTTTGCACACCAACATGGAGGAGATACAAAACATTTTGTGTTTTGGAGCAGCTTTTTCTGTGACCATTACTGCTGTTGCCGCTGCTGTCATCAGAAGATGAAGGCAGCGGGTGATAATTCAAAGGCAAAGCCCGTATGTATGGGAGCGGACATGGATGAGGGATTTCTGGGAGAGGATCGTTAATGAGGAATTCACAGACGAATTGTGGATTCAAAACTTCAGGATGACCCGGGATACGTTCAATGAACTGTGATGCTATTGAGCCTCTTGTGGCACCCGTCATGTCAAGCCCCCGGGAGGCAGTTCCCACTCGGAAGCATGATCACATGACCCGCTACGTCACGTCCAATGACATAGAATTGCGAGAATAGTGTTTCCATTACACTTTTGCGATATACTTCTATATCGACACGTCTGAAAAACCACCTCATGAGAGCGTAAAAACTTTTTAGCGATATTTGAGAGGTTTTTTGAAATTTAGGTGTTTCCATTACCAGTTTTCTATTGCGATATTTAGGTTTTGCGCAAATCTATGCGTAATGGAAACGCAGCTTGTGTCACTCTGAATCATCTTGTCCCATTAGAGTCACTGATACACAGTCTTTACTGGAAGTCCCTGAGCTCCATCATGCTGTAAGTTCATCTGGATCACTGCTGCAGATGTTTAGCTGCTGTGGACCTGTCTGCTTTACAGCTGCTACAATACAGGCATCAGTCTAACCTCAGTCCATCTCTCTCTGAACCCAGTTCAGTCTCAGCAGATGACTCTAACATCAGTCTGGCTCTGCTCGAGGTTTCTGTCTTACGAAGGAAGTTCTTCCTTTCTACTGCAACTCTCGAAATGCTGTAAGGAGTTTCCCTCATGTGGTTGAAGATGGATGGGAGTTGGTCTGATCTTACAGGTTAAGGCTCAGTCTGATCCCATCTTAACATTGGGGGCTCTATTTCCGTGCGCGCCGGTGAGGCGGCGGAGGGTGGCGAGCCCCGCGCAGTTGTATTTTCGTCTGGCGGAGCCCGGCGTAAGGCCAGTTTGGTATTTTCGTGGACTGAGCCGTACGGAGGCGAGCCGAGATCCGCCAAGCTAGGCGTGGTTGCGTGGCAGGGGGAGGTGTCGACAGAATCAGCTGGCGCAGTGACATTTTCGTGCTCGCCACCGGCGTGTAAAGTGCGCTGAAAGCTCGCCGATTCAAACCTGGTCA